CCTGCTTGGCTCTTAATGGAGTTTACAGTTCCAGATGTCCTGGCATTGCTATGTATCGAAGCAGGAGTGATTGAAGAAATCTATCTTCTTCTTTCTGCTATATGAGTTCATGGGTGGCTCACGTTTGTCTTGCTGGATGTTTTGGGTCCCATTAAGAGTAGATGGGGATGTAACTACAGTTACAGTTTTTCTGACCCCCTGGTTTGCTATTCGATGGTGGGGAGGAACACCTGATGTGTGATCCAGCTCCAGTATTGCTGGTCTTTTCCATCTCCCATACCACATCTCCCTAACAGCCCAAATGTAATTAAAACCTGGCAGATGCTCTAAGCTCTCTGTGTGTCTGGGCTTGTTAATTATCTCCTGGACCCATCTGACATGCTGCCAGAAAGCAGAAATTGCATTTCAGAAGAGAACAAGGGGGTCCTGCATCAGCTCTGCGAAAGGCCGAAGCCAAAGCCCACAAGACTGCAAAAGCGAGAGGAGAATTCAGTTGCTGAATGTGGTGTCCATGTGCTGATTCATCCCTGCTGTCCCAAATCCCCCCTAGATTTTAGAAATGCCTTCAAAGTATTGCTGCTACACCCATGCTTTTTACAGGACCTTGAAGGCAGGTAGGGTGCAAGCCAAGGGCATGGGTTCAGAGGCAGAGATTATAGTAAAATATTCCCGCTAGCCGACAGAGGAAAGCAGAGAATTTGGATCAGGTAAAAACAGCCTGGCTGGACAAAATTAGGCCCTGATGTCTCCAAATGAAGCAGCTATTTCCTGCCTGCCTTCTACTGGCAACATCCATTTTCTTGCAGCGGCCTCAGATGCCAACTCTGCAGGTGCCTTTTGCCGCAAACTGCAAACCAGTTCTTCTCCAAGTCTTAAAAGAGGAAGCTCTGCTGTTTAATATTTAATCAAAATTATTTTGTGCCTTATGTAACACCTTGCAGCTGAGTGGCTGCCAGGCAGGGCCACCCATTTTAGACCTATATTGCCCTCCATCACACATTGCCTTGCTGCCCTCTCCCTGCTTGTGCTCACAGATGTCCTGTACCTGGCCAATACTTAGGGCCTGACCCCTCTGTGTGGGATTTGGGCTCATGGGGTCCAGAGCTCTTCCTCTGGCCACAGACCTGCTCTCTGTGTCATTACTAAGTGATGAGTTTGCAGCAGGAAGTCCTCTGCTTTCCCCAGGCTGTTGCAATTGGAGGGAACACCTCCAGTTTGACTCTCCAACTGGAGAAGAGGTTTGTTTTGCCTGCAAACAGGAGTGTGGGGGCAGAGGGTTGAGTTAGGTAGTGGCAGGGAGGGATTTCTCACTTGGGAAACCAGAATGAGGCTGTGCTTCAGTAAAAGGGAGCTTGGAAAGGGATGGAGACAGACCCTCTCTGGAGCTTGGAAAGGAATGGAGACAGACCCTCTCTAGAGCTTTCCCTGTCTCCAGCACTTCTTATCTTTAAGCCTCTCTTCTCTATCGTGGGAGGTCAGACCTGCTTACTGCATCCTACATCTCCAGTGCCCTGCAGGATCCCATAGGGAAAATGTCATTTAACTGAGTGGGTCTGGAAAAGGACTTGCTCAGCTCTGGTCCCTTGGTGGTCTTCTGTGCTGTGGTTCCCACCTGCAAACTGGCACAAACAGTCCTGCCCTGTGGGGTGCTAAGTCACAGAGGGCTCAGAGTCAGTGGCAAAGTGGAGGTACAGGTTTGAGAGGCAGATGGCCTGGAAATCAGGGTAGTAGGGATTTTATTCCTTAAGATGCACTGGGGATATGCATGGGTGTCAGAACGAAAGGTACAGTGAAAATGTCAATACCCATGGGGGATTTTAAGTTGCTGGCACATGCATCAAAGGCTCTGAAAGTCTCAGGAAAGCCCAAAGCCATTCTCACAGTGCTGCTGGTTTTCCACTTTTTTTTATCCAATTCTGCATTTATTCCTGTGAAGCTAATGGGGCTGACATGACCCTCTTTTTCTTAGTCACTTCTCTGTCTTTTCTTTAGCTCTGGTGATCTGCATCACAGGAACAGGCTTTGCTCAAAGAAAATGAGGAGAGAAGGGGTGGATTTAAAAGAAGTAGGGATTGCTCTTTATCTGGTTAGAAAAGCCAGCGAGTGTCAAGGAGAGAACAAGTGTGGGTGTCTGAATATGTTTGTAGTAGTGGAAAGCAGCTGCCATCCGGTAGCTGTCTGTGGCCAACGTGCCTTGAGACGGGTTTCTTGTGCATGAGGCTCTGCATCATCTCAGGTCCCTCTCTCAGTCCTGGCGAAGAAGTGGGAGGTAAGTAAGGATGGTGATTTCTCTGCCAGCCACCCCAAAGTGGTTCCTACTGAATGGGATGATCAGCTTGTGGAAGAGCCTCATAATGGGAGACGTTCCCCGCAGGCAGGGAACTTATACTGGGATGACAAGGACAAAGTAGGATACAGAGCTGAGGCCAGCTCAGCTCGGCACATGGGTGTGTGTATCGGCAAGGCTGCCAGCTTTGCCATGCTCCGAGGGCCAAGCACCCTGCAAGCCCTGCCGGCAGGGTTGTCTGTGTTGTGCTATCAATTTCAGTGGGACTGATTTCAGTGCAACTGGGAGAGGTTGAGTAAGCCTACATAAAAAGGAGTAAATAGCAAACCAGTTTGGAGGAAGCAGTGTTGGCACTGACCCTGTGCTGTTTGGCTGAGGCTTTCTAGGAGACTGAGCAGAAGGTGCCATGCAGGTTTTCAGCCCTGCCTTTCTCTGAGAAGGGCAGTAGGGGCAGACTGGGATGCTGCTTGGCTGCAGCACAGTTTCTCCTGGCAGATCCCGCTCTGTACCCATCCACGCTGTCCCTGCCAGGCTGCTTACCACACTTGGGACTTCCGCCGGGGCATGCCGTGCCGGTGCCACTTTGAGTGGGGAGTTAGGTGGTAAATCAGCTGCCTGCAGATCCTGTCCGAGGATTTCCAGGGATCATATTCCTGAAAGCAAAGGGACAGCTTAGCCTCTGCATGCACCACAGCAGAACATGAGGCAAGAGGGAGGACAGAAGATAGGAAAAAAGGAACTGAGGTGGTAGTGGAGCAGGGGAATGTATATAGGTGAGGAGATGAAGAGGAAAAGAAGATGAGAGAGGAATTATGAGAAGGCCTGAGTTGCCTCTGTGCCACATGCAATCTCCTCCTGGGGTGGAGGAGGAGCAGTAGGAGCTCTGCACTGCCAGGAAGGACCCCAGCCAGCATATTTCTGCCCAGAGCGGGGCTACAATTTCACACCCTACCAAGGAGCGAGTGGAGCTCAGAAGAGGAGTTTGTTTTCTAGAGCTGTGGCAGGGGTCCTGCTCGAAGCCAGGCAACACCCAGGAAGGTAGGGGTGGCTGACAATGTGAGAAGAGCTCTCTGCAGAGAGACCTTTTCTTCAGAAGATCTCCACTTTCAAAAAAGCCCAATGTGGCAACAACATGGATGTCTCAGCTCACTGCTGCATCCTCAGTAGCACCCATCTCTGGATGGGCAGACAAGCTGCCAGCTCCTTGTGTTACAGGACTATGATAAATTTCTATCAATTATCTTGTTGCCATGCCTCCCAAACTCTAACTGCATACTGTCTTTGGACTGACTATCTGTTCCCCTCATGTGGAAAGTTCAGTGGTCAGCACCCTTGCCCCATCCCCCAGGTGCTTCTTGCTGGGAGAGATGTGCCCTGGGACATCCCTGCTCCTCCTGCAGCAGCACCCTCACTCTGTTCCCTCCTGTGCTCCAACTAGGAGATGCCAGGACAGGGAACCAGCGAGTTCCCCATACTCCATCTTACTACTTTGCAGTCCATTCTGCTCTTGGAGGTTTGAGTTTGGGAGCTTCCCAATGCCAGCAGTTCCTTCCAGTCCCTGCAGTAACTCATCAGGAAAAGATGGCACCAAGATGGTTGCTACTTTCCTGGTTGATTTTTGCATGCATTCTCTATTGCCATGACTTTGAACAGCACCTCTCTTCTGCTGGTGAAGCAGAACGGTAAATGGCAGCTGCTGAAGGCTGGGATTTCTGCCCTCTCTGTCATATTTTCCAAATGCTGACAGACACCTGCATTCCCATTCCTCAGCCCTCCAGCTGTGGTGCAACAGATGCATCAGGGATTTGATAAGTAAACATATAGTAAAGCTGTCGGGGAATATGCTAATTTATTCTTTATTGCAAGTGGTAAAGTGCTGTACTGTGGGACAACAGCTGCACTGGGACTTTCCTAAGCAGTCACTGAATCAGCTGAACTCCCCAGGGATGCACTGCCAGCATGTGGCTGTTCTGCTGTGCCAAGTGGAGAGGGATCCCAGCCTCATTGCTCAGCTGAACACCCCCTGATCCCCTGTCCCAGCTCCCCTAGGAACCCCACAGGGACTGGCCCATGCCCTTGGGTTAGGTGCCTTGTTCTAGACTACTTACTACTGTGCTGGCAAGGCTGCAACTGGCACCCCGCTGTCACCTACAAGAGCAAACCTCTCCAAGTGGGTGCACGTGCATACCAGGCTCCAGCACAGAAGCTGGCACAATGCTCTGCAAGTGTCTGTTGGCTCACAACTGAGAATTACCCTCCTGTTCCTTCCCGTGTCCTCACTAATTTAATTTCCACTGACAGACTGGGAGTTGCATTCAGCCTGCTTGCCTGTAATGTAGTTACACCCACCAGACACTTAGCCAGGGTTGGAGAGGGGATGTAGTCTGCTGATATTTGTGCTGGGAAGGGTGCTGGTGCTATAGGGTGCTGAGTCTCTCCAACCCCTTAAACTCCTGTTGGCTTTGAGGGGCAGCTCAGGTGCTCAACATCTTCATTAGGAATGGGGAAAATCTTATCTATATAATGGTATGTGTGTCAGTGCAGATAAGCATGTGCATCTATATAACGTGAAAATGGAGACAGGGGAGGTAGATGAGTGTGTATAAAAAATTGTAGTGTGTTATCTGCTAGGCACCTGGGTACTGGAGCAGGGCAATGTCCCCCTCATGCTGCCTCCCCTGAAGGGCACTGCACAGCATGAGGTTGGAGATGGTCTGGTGGAACAGCTGGAGTTCAGGTCAAGTGAAGTATGGTTAAGAGGGACTACTGCTGCAAGCCACCCTCTTCCCTCTTAAATGCTTATAATATGTGCATAAAAAATATACTTGAAAATAAGATTTTTTTTCAGACTGTATTGCAGCCCAATGACGATGATTAAACTTTGGCTAAATGTAGTTTGGCTATTGAGACCTGACTGGTTAATTGTTATCAGAGACCCTCAGGAGATGGCAGAACAAGGTTAGAAATGTCACTAATCTACACCAAGCATTTGGTGTGCTCCCTAGGGCACCGCTGTTTGCTCTGAACTGTGTGTACTTAATATCCCTCCTTGAATACAGAAATGCACTCTATTGCTCTCCTTATAAAGCAAACGTGACACTTGCCAAGCCTGATGAGCAAACGGATGTATTGCAAATCCAAGTGTTTGTGGTGCAAAGGGTTACAGAAGTAGATGGTGGTGTTGTAGTGGGACTGTGATAGCTGTGATGTTTGTCTGCACTCAGCCTTGCCTGTCTTTGTTTCTGCTCTCCTCATTTTCTGAAGGAAAGCGCTGGAGCAGCACAGGGATATTGTGCACACAACACACTTGATTCTTGAACTCTGAGTTGCAATATATTCCTATAGCACCATTCTTTACTCGGAGATCTGTGAGGTTGTAGGGGGGATGTAATGCTGGATTAGGGTAGCTACATATGGCAAAGGGCCTGGGAAGAGAGAGGTCCTTGTCTTCCTCCTGCAGAGGCACCAGCCTGGGCAGAGGTGCAGAGAGCTCTATTCCCCTCTGCAGCCCCATAAGCACCTCATAAGGTAGCTTCTTTGAACCTCTGGGGCATACCAGTGAATATGGCACCACCATCTGCCCCACGTATCTTTATCTGGCCTGTACCATGTCATCAAGTTTATTATTGGCACAAAAACTAAATTCTTGATTTTTGTGCACATAACCACCCCTTCCTTCAGGTGCATTCATGTTCTGAGGTAGTTTTAACTGCTTTCTACAGAAATGCGCACAACAGTCTATAAGCTACTGCTTCAAGGGCATACACTAGCTGGTTCTGAAGGACTGCAGAGCACCACCCAGCACCAGCCACCCCATTAGGGCTCTCATTGCATCAACATCGCAAAACATCCACTAAGCTGAGGGAAGGGTTCACCTTTTTTGGACACTGCAGATCTCTAGCAAGGCTCATCAGCAGGTCATGGGAGATGGGATCCACCAAATTGAGGAAAGTCGCATTTTTGTAGAGCACTTCATTGAGGAATGTTCCTTCCAGTCCCAGATCCTACAAGAAATACACGGTGAGTCAGATACATGGGCTCCCTTGGAACTACAACCGTAAGGTGTTTTGAAATCAGAAAGCAAGTCCCATAAGGTGCCAGCATTACTGTGACAGGGGATGTGGACAGCCAGAGAGCTGAATGAGATGCAGTGTTAAGCTGAGCTAGTCAGCCTAGGGACTGGCCACCTTGTTTCCACCTACCACAGGAAGGTGAGAGCAGTATCGTTTCCAGGCTGGCTGGAGCCCAGAGAGAATTAGCTCCAGAGAAACTTGCAGTTTTGCCAGCTTCCATGTGTGAATCTACTGAAAAAACTGAGCAGGAAGGCTGGCTCTAAACCTGCGTCTCCAACTTCAGCTTTTCTGGAAGAATCAAACCTTTCTCAGGTTATTCAGATACTGCCATACACTCCAGTGATGGCTGGTTGACTAAAAGTCCTGCCCATCAGTATGAGTTTAGCTGTGCTTTGAATTTCTCAGGAAGCGTTAAGCACTGGCAGTGTTGCCTTTTGGGTGCAATGGTAAATTTATAGGTAGCTCTACACAAGTCATGGGGAGTCCTCTTCCCATCTTCCACAGTGTGAGCTAGGGGAACATCTGTGGTCCATGCGACTTGCCTGCAGGGACCAGGGTATGGGGCACGTCTTTGGGAACAAAAAGCCTCCCCAGGGGCCAGATGGGTGATCTTACAAAGAACTAAGCTGTTTCTTGCTAAGAGGAAAGCTAAGATCTAATATATGACACAGTTATTACAATCAGGAGGTACCACAGAGCTGGGGGGGAAGCATCTGGGAAAGAGAGATCACATACTCACATAAAAATATCCCAAGGGCAGAAAAAAAGCGCCCCAGGAGTAGAAATGCAGAACAAAAAAGCTCCCTAACAGGGGTAGTGCTGGGTTTGATTCAGTTGACAAAGAGGGCTCAGCTGAGGGAGGAAACAAGTCCACTCTGTATGCTGCTGCCAGGAGAAATGAATAAGCAAATGGGTGCCCCATATGTTTGCGCTGCTCCACTGAATGTGGACTTCAGGTAGCACCCAGTGAAAGATGTACTGAGAACTCAAAAAAAGCTGGGTGTACACACATACATCACCAGCATGGATGGAGCCATAGCTGGCAGAGGTGTGGGATCTTAACCCGAAGCAGCAATCAAAGCCAGTACTGCATCCACTCTCTGAATGCGGCTGGATCAAGCAGAGAGCACAATACCAAAGAGAACCTGGCTACAGATCTGGTGGAGAAAGGGAGAATAAATCAACTGCTTTACAGCCCCATCGCTGTGTGTACACACATGATACCCATAAGCAACCAAGGAACCCTGAAGGACAGACAGCCACAGGCACAGCTGGATGTGAGCCAGGAGCGTACCAAGGCATCATGCCAATGCCTCCCTTAACTGTAAGGCTTCAGGGAATTGGAGCCTCCTACGCCAAGTGTAATAGGCACGGATGAAGAAAGCTGCCGAGAGGATGGCATGGCTGGGCATGCAGCAGTCAACGTTGGAGCAGTAATTAAACTCCCCCAACTGCAGCCATACCATTAAGATGAATCTGCATTCCTATTAAAAATCCTGCCTGCAAGGGTTTTATAAGTAATACAGCTTTAAATATTCAATTCACATTGATAGTCTATAAATTCTTAGCCCAGGGGTGTTTTCTGGTTCATCTTACTTGTTTCCCTCCTTCTTTCTCTCTCTCTCTTCTTGGAAAATTTTGTATCACCTAAAGGTAGCTGCAGACAGCAGAATATTGCAAGTCTTGCCAGTTCAGCTGGCTGAGTGCTGTTATCTTAAAAATGACACTTGGCCATTGTCTCAGCACAGGGAAATCAAACTGTACCAGACTTTTTGCTGGTGTTAAGTCTAATGTCTCCCCTGACTTCAGCGGAGTAAAGCCCACTTAGACCAGCAGGAAAGCTGGTCTGTCTTTTGCAGGTGGGTATTTCTGAGACGGGCAAGATGATGTGCAATGGAGCTGTCCGAGTGTTCCCATACAATGTAAGTGTACAAGAGTGTACACCTGTGGTTTGCAGTTGTTCTCTGTGCAGTCTTCTAAACCGCTACAATCTTGCATATCTGTTAGTGGATCTGCTGCTGGCTGGCTGGCTTGCTTTACTTTATTACACCCTCCTGACATCCTAGGAGCAGTCCACAGCCCTTTGGTGTCTGCAGACCACAGGTCAAAAACCACTGGCAGATATAATTACATCCTGCGGGGTGCACCTGTAGGGCTGGACAAGGTCCATGTCTGCTGGAGCAGCAGGAGATACATTGGGAGCCTGTGCCCGCCGGTCTGGCTGAGCACATCTGCTCATTTGGGGAGGCTGCGATTCTGGTCTCGCCATTGCTCTGCCTTCTCTAGGGTGTTTGCACCCTGGCCCAAGGCACAGTGATGAGGTATGGCGTTAAATATCCTCGCTGTCCACTAGAGTGAATGAGATCTCTCTCTTTTTACAGGTAACAAACAGACCCTCACCTGGGACACATTAATCCGTGGCTCCTGACAGCGTGCTACTGCCAAGGTAAGCCAGTTTGTGTAAGGACGGACATGCTGGGGACTAAGCTAAGGGCTGAATTTAGTGGAGGAGTGAGGGAAATTGGTAAATGAGAAAAAAGGCTGATCATAGTACTCTTTGTAGCTGACGTTGGATATGTGAGGACTGGTTCTGGTTACATGACCCCAGCCTGGCTGATGCTTGTGTGTAGTCATTGAAGGGTGCAGTATGCCTTAGTGGTGTAGCCCTCTGACTCGGAAATCACCGCGGACACAACGAACTAGAGGCTCTGGGGTGATGTTGGATGGGTTCCCGTCTGACTTGGCGGGAGTGTGTCCCACTGCTCTGCCATGAGCAGATGAACAGAGGGTCACTGTTTCAACATGGACAGGGAGAGATGGGGATCAGGAATAACAAGGGGAACTGGAAGGGCAGTGGACAAAATGTGAGTGTTCAGGACATGGTAATTCCCTGTGCAGATGTGGGGAAGCCAACTGATCCTGAAAGGAGCTGGCAGGCTGCATTGAAAGGAGGGCTTAGAAATTACCCTCCATTCCAGATGGCCCTGTGACTTAGCATTCAAACGCTGGCTGTTCACAGATGGACCTTCTGGAGATCTCCAAGGTCTGTGGGGGATTTTAGTGCTTCTACCTCAAGGAGAGGTGCTGAGTGCTACAGAAAATGACATTCTGTAGTTCTGGCCTCCAGCATACCCTACAAAAGTCTGTTCGTGTTACGTCGCCATGTTCATGCAGTGAGTGGTTGCCTCTCTTTCTTCACAAGCTTCTTGCAACAGTGCCTTTCCAAAACTGTCTTTGCAATCTTATTCAACCCTTGCCTGCCAGACCAGTGCACACATACAGGCTTTCTGCTGAGGGTTTATCTATCTATATGTGTGGCAAGAAGGGCGTTTGTGGTGCTGGTAGCAATATTCATGTGAACACTAAGGCAGTGGACAGGAAAAGTAGGGTGTAATTTTTGGTCCTGTAAATTCTTACTCATGAGCGTGCAACTTGCTGGTAGCCCAGAGCATTGACCACCACTGCTGGATGTGTTGTAAACCCCAGGACGTTCAGAGCAGAAACAGGGGCTGTTAATGCAGCTCCCTGCAGCTGGTAGCATGGCTGTATGAGCATCCCAGCAAGCCAGTCCCTGCTCCGACGTACTCACACCCAAAGGTTACTTGCCACTGTGGCAAGAAACTCTGTATGTTCCCAAATTAAGTAGGGGGCTGTTAGCAGCTCCCTGCAGCTGGTAGCATGGCTGTATGAGCATCCCAGCAAGCCAGTCCCTGCTCCGACGTACTCACACCCAAAGGTTACTTGCCACTGTGGCAAGAAACTCTGTATGTTCCCAAATTAAGTAGATCATTATCTAATGAAGCAACATGATAAGCTAAGAACCGATGGTGTTTTATGTCCAGATCAGAGGGATGATTTGTCCTCTGTGGTACTGATTGCAGAGCTGCCTGCAGTTTGAGGGAGCTGAGTTTGCCTGGAAAGTGATGGTAACACTGAGTGATGGAGGAGATGGCTCTGTTCCAGCAGCAGGGCTCTGTCCTCAGCATCAGTTAGGCACCACGCTGTCTGCACACTGGCTTTTCTGTTCCTGAATGGCGGCAGACAGAAACAAGCTCCCACTGATACACTGACCCCTTTACCTCTCCTCTCAGCCGAGGCTGTCCCAGAGGTCCTCTCCAAAACCATTTTGAGTGCTTCCGAAGACAGAGCTTGGCCAGCCTGGCTGGGCGGGTGTATGGGGATGTGGTG